ATCCAGAGATCTGGGCCCCTGTATCCTTCTGCCCCATATTCTCCTTGCCATTAATTCTGGCAGCCTTAACATGTTCCATATCTGGTTTTGCAGAGGCTAATCTCACAAAACCAATATGATACGTTCCAATTGCCTGGGGGGGTTCTGTGTTGAGGCAGCAGAACTAACATGAGCTATTGGTTGCCTTGTTCCTCCTAGCACAGGGCATTTATTCCTCAGAAGGTCAGTGAAATTACACTGATAGCACCTTTTGGGGCTCTTCTGTTTTTACAGGAGGTTGGGGATGAGGGTTAGAGGAATGGTTTTGGGGAGGTGAGTGCCCAGCCTCCCAGCCACCCTCCTTTTTGCTAGGGATAAAATGGGATCCTCCCTTCCCACCAGCTTTAAACACCCCTTTCAGTGGTTTGTTTTCAGTAGATGCCTGGGTCTGTTCAAAGGCATCAGGTAGAGCCGCCGTCTCATTCACAGACTTCACGTCTTTGTCCCATAGACACTGCTTCACATCCGCCTTACATATGCCTAGGAAACGCTCTTGAGCAACCAGATCAAAGCTTCTAACACCTTTGCCCCTCACCCATTTTCCCATCAAATCGTTCATTCTGTTCACATATTCCCCATTACTCATACCAATATCCCTCGTAAGATTCTTAAATTTAACTCTCTACATTTCAGGGGTAATTTGAAACCTTTGTAAAACAGTGTTTTTGAATTTACAATAGTCTAAAGCATCTTCAATGGGCATTTCATTCAATACACTTAGAGCTTTACCAGTTAATTTTGCAATCAGGGTAGGAACTCTCTTGGCATCAGGGATCTCATGCATTGCACATAGCCTTTCAAAGGTAGTCAGATATTCAGCAATATTGTCTGCCTTATTGTATGCAGGACATAAATGGTCCCAATTGTGGATTTTTGTAGTGATGGGAATTGCTGGGGTCACTGGGTTCTGGTTCTTCTTCTCTAGCAGGTCCAGTTGGTGTTTTTGTTCTCTCTCTTTCCTCCTGCTCTCTTTCCTTCTCCTTTATCTGCAGTTCTTTCAGTTGCAATAATCTCTGGTGCTCTCTCTCCTTTTCTGTAACCTGCAGCCTAAAAAGCTCCAACTTTGTAATCGCTTCACTGCTTTCACTCATTTTCCTGCTTTTCTGTTCCTACTTCCCTTTCCCAAAATAAGCAAACAGAAAATAACAAACCGGTAGCCTTCTCCTGACTGTCCTTAGCCACCACACAGAAAGCCTCACTTAAAATCTTTACACCAGTGTATGAAGTGCAAATCTTGCTCAGTACAACAAGCTGTGTATTTCAGCCTGCTCACTGTGCCAGGGCTGCCCAAAGGGGGGGGGACAAGTGGGGCAATTTGCCCTGGGCCCTGCAGGAGCCCCCACGAGAGTTTTCCGGGGCCCCTGGAGTGGGGTCCTTCGCTAGGGCCAGGGGTGCTTGGCCGGCGCCGGGGCCGGAGCAGCGGGGCCAGGCCGGCGTGGACTGCCGGAACCGGGGCTGGCACCCCGGGGTCCAAGCCGGAGCCAGAGCCACTGGGGCTGGGGGTGCTCGGCCGGGGCCGGACTGGGCTGCGCCTCCCCGGATCCCTCCTTCTGCACCCCCCAGCTTACCTGCTGCCGCCTGCCCCTGCTTGTTTTCAGACTTCCTGTGAATCAGATGTTCGCAGGAAGGAGAGGGGGAGGAGCAGGGGGCAGAGTGTTCAGGGGCGGGGAGGAGGGGGAAGTGAGCTGGGGGGCGGGGTGGAGAGCTGCGGGGCCCTCTTAGGCGTGGGGCACGATTCAGCGGAATCGGCTGAATCGGCCTAAAGCCGGTCCTGGTGCTAGTGACAAGAAGCAAACACCTCCAGGCACTGTTATCACTCAGCACAACCACATGTGGAGCCCCACACCCAGATAGGTTGCCTGAATGGTCCCAGGGCACAGTGGCCACATGCTTGGCCTTTCTCCTGCCCTCACCTATGCTGCAAGCAACAAGGACACTCAAGACT